GGAATGCCCGGTTGGGGTGATGGTCCCCCCGCACCACGGCCACCCCGAGAGACTCGCGCAGATGGTGTGAGCCGTCCCTTCTTGGCACTGGATGCACGGGTCGCAAGCCAATGACAGAGGGATGAAATGCAAATACAGCACTTCTTGTAAAGTAAATTAAGCTAACAACGAGGTAACAAACTGCTGTTAATATTAGATTAACTTGTTTGGCAAGATATGAAATCGGGCGAGCCGGATTGTCGATAGCAGAGTGCTCAATAGTGCTAATGCTGCTCAGGGAAGTATAACAGCATCCCTCGGAGAGACAGACGCACGCACCAAAAAAAAAAATAAAAATTAAGACTGGAGGAAGAGCCAGAATCTGTGCAGCAACTACACCAGCATTAAAGATGAACAGAGAAGAAGCTTGAGATTTTGATTGCCTTTAAATACCGGCTTGTTTTTAATCTCCAAACCAGACTGTGCTGTGATCAGCCATTAGCCCTGACTAGGAAAAAAAAAAAAAAAGAGAGAAATGATCCTAGATTTTAACATTTGTAGTAAGAACTTAAAATACCACTTTGATGTAAGATAAGGAGGCAAATGGCAGATAATTCACAAGTTAAAGCCAGTTGTGTGCGGTTAGCAGCTGGCAGTGGCTGGGCTGACTTTGGGAGCGATGGAGACTTGGGCAGAGGGGTCACCAGCAGCGTGTCCTCAATGCGGAGACTGAGGCACAAGCTGAAATGTCATACTATATGCCAGTGGTCACTAAACTGATTAAGGAATGGTTATCTTTAGCAGTAAAAAGGCTATCTGCTAATACTAAATGATTAGAGTCTAAAATGCCATTTACTCTGCTCTGATTCCTCGAATGAATATTTATGCCAAGCGATGACTATAACACCATCAAAAGGTTTCTGTGCTCTGCTCCGTAGAGTGGAAGTGATTATTCAACAGCAGGTCTGCACTCCAGCACTTGTTTCTATTAAGCAAATTTGCAGCATTCAGACGAAAATTCATGATTGCATTGTCCTCTGGGGATTTTTATTTTTAAAGAAATCCCACTTCCAGCACTCTCCGGGGCTGCGGCAGGCGGGCCTTGTCTGCTGCACACAGAGCAGAGGGATACACGTACTGCACAATTTCTCCCTTGTATTTTTATTTTTTTTTTTAATGTAAGACAACTGGACATTTGCTGCACCCCATTCAACAGTAAGAAGCCGTGTCCTGTCCCAGGCTTTCCTCTCACCCGGCTTTCCTCTCACCCACCCACCCAGCCGCCAGCCAGGGTCTTTGCATAAAACAGGCTCATGAAATTCCTCGTTAGGTGTCAGGAATTGTGTCTGCAGACACGGTGACAAATCGAGGGGGCTGCCCATCAGAAATGAAGCCCCTGCACCCCACGGGGGAGCACTGCCTGCGTTTCACAGCAAGGGCAAGTGCCGGGAGGTGAGCCAATGCCTGGGGTGTAACTAACCCCCCATCCGCGGACAGAAGGGTGTTTGGCACGGTGCGAGCCCGTCTGTGCTGCCATCGCAGCAGCGAGGGAGGGCTCCAGACTGCCCCACACCAGGGACCACTGAGCAAACCAAGGCGATGCTGGCATCCAAGCAGCACGCTGCTGGGCCGTGCACCAAGTGTGTAAATCTGGAAGGGAGGTCATTCCCTCACGGTGTGGGCTGGTACCGGCTGAGTTCTCCCTGTGCTCCAGCTGGGGCATGCAGGGTTCGGTTCCTGCCTTGCCCTGGAGGCAGGGGGGCTCTTCTCGGGGGCTCAGCAGTTTTGAAGCATCCTAAGTGTCTAGTGGTGTTCTGCTTCTGTTTAGCCGCTATTCAATGTAGTTGTACATAAAAGCATTCCATGCAACAGGCAGAGCAGCACTGGGCTGCACTGCATTTGGGGTTTGCAATTCAGAGCTTACACACGAGACCCACAACCAGCAACCAATTGGTTCACATAAGAAAAAAGTACTCGGTGTCTATTTATTAGAGGAAAGGGGGTAAATCTAAGAAAAAGCAAGAAGACAATATGAAAAAAAAAGAATTGCAGCCATCCTTTACAGCTACTGGTGCACTGTATTAAAGTGACATTCACCATACAAAGAAATGTGTTTGGTACAGTCCAGTGGGTTGCACATGAATTGCATAACCTTGAAAATCATTGCACAAAGCATCGCAGCAGGAACACAGTTCAGAGCTTTTCTACAGGAGACGCTTCAAATCCAATTGCCTTCATTACATGGGAGGTCAAAGCACCTGGCACAGAGTAAGCAAAAAGGCTGTGAAAAGGGATGCTGCGTCAGCGCCCGGCGGCATTCGAACCCTGACATCAGCTCTCGCAGCAGCTCAGACCTGGACAAACAGGAAAACCCCACTGCCTATTGAGCCCCTGAAATTAATATTCCAATCAATGCCTGGGCACCTGTTGGCAGGGCTGGAGGAAGCCTGCTCCTTGCAGCCTGGACTGGAGACACCACAGCAGCACTCTTGGCCGTGGAAATGCTCTAAATTCATGGAGATGGAAAGCAACGCAACAGCCAGCAGCTCGGCACTGCACGGCAGCCTTGGTGAGACGCAGCCAGTGACACCGAGGGTTCCCAGCCGTCACTCCCCCTCCCCAGCCCATTCCCCTCCGTTGTACAGCACAGTTTTGGACATCAGCCTCTGCACAGTTCAAATGGAGAGGTCTAACCCGGCAGCAGCATCGCTTCCCCTGGTTAGTGTGTGTGAACTCCCATCACTGCTTTTATTCGTGCGGTTTCCAGGGATCTGTGTCCGTATTTCTCACAGTCTGCTCAACGTCAAGCTCAGGAAATACAGGCTTTCACCGCACGGGGAACAAACCACAGCTACGATGACCAGGAAACATTCATAATTTTTAATTCACACCAGTAATAAAATTGCATTACATTTTTCATAAAATAAATGTTCCAGTTTATATACAGAAAACAGACTGTACAGAGCCCTCCCCCAGACCCCAAAAACTCACAAACATACAGGCAATGCAGTGCTCAGCTAAGCAGGCACAACTGTACACCTAAAATTGTAACTGCTTTGTGTTGGGGGGGAAAAGTACTACAATGTATATAGTCCTCTCTGGACCAAGAATTAAAAAAATATTGCAGGCAAGCTGACAGGCGGCCGAGCGCCCATCCCACAGTGCTTCCGCAAAGCAGGGTGTGTTATTGAACCTGGGACTCGAAGCTCCCGTTCAGCTGCCCTTCCTCATAGTCCATCTGACACAAGATCATGTTGTTCTTCAGGAAAAATTTGTCTCCCACGCAGAATCTGGAAGATAAAAAGAATTACTGGGCGTTAAGTATAAATAGAGGTTAGAACAGGGGGAATTTGAGGCAGTTTGGATCTGAAGGAGACTCTGGGGACTAGAATTTGATTTCCAGCTCTGCCAGCAGTGTTGGATCTTGGGAACCCCAGGTGCTTCTCCTCCCTCTCCCCTTCCCCGCAGGCGCCTGGGGTTTTGCTGTCCCAGTCCCTGGCAGGCTGGTGCACAGCTCCCACACCGTAGCCGTACGGCGCAGCTGGGAAGCAGGTCCCGGGCTCTGCTGCATCCTGTGCCAGCATCCAGAGGAGGTCGGGAGCATGAAGGGCTTTGTCCCTGCAGACAAGAGGTGCCAGCTCTACAGCCGGGAAATCAAATGGGTGATATTACACAAAGACTATTTGAAGTTTTTGCTGGTATCCGCTTTTCCAGGGTTCCCTCGGGTGAGGCAGTATTTACACTAATTTCCAGGCAAGGACTGGCTATTAAGTCCTTCCTCGTTCCCTTGTGTACAGTGTGGAACAATAAATAGAAATTTCCTGGTGGCTGGACTCCTAACCTTTATCTTCATTGAGCGAAGGGCACAGCTCTCTATATACCATGTAAATTGTTCTGTTTGTACTGAAGTTGACAGAGAGGCTTGTGATATTTAACAATTTTATTTGACCATTAAGGTCAAAAGAGTTCCACATATAAGATGGGAGAGGTGTGAATTGACAGCCAAGAGTTTCTTTGCCCTGCCTGCTTGCTCAAGAATCAGAAGCTAATCTTGATTTCTTAAGATAACAAATAATGCTCTTTGCACCCAATTCGGGGGCTGGGTTTTGTCCATCACACCAGTGGGGCGATGACAGAGCAGAGAGCACGTCTGCGCCTCCCTGCCCAAGTGCTGAGTCCTACACCAGCCCCAGCCAGGTCCCTAAAGCAGAGTCACCCCAGCCCCGTGCCAAAGGCAGCTCAAAACCACAGGAAGGGGTAGGTACCACCCTTGGGCAAGACCAAATGTTTACTGGGCTTTGAAGGAACATCAGTGGAGATGATCCTGTCCTCAGGAGGCTTAGCAGACCTCAAACACCCATTTACACTGCTGCAAGGCAGAGCTTTGGCAGGGACATCACCTACTCCTTGTCTAAAATGTTTTCTAGATTTGTAACCCAGGCAGAGCATCTCCATAAAATGGAATATTTTGTGTTACAATAACAGGAGTGGTCAATTTTTTGGTCTGATTGGGCATAAGCTTACTCCAACTGGACACGTGCAAATAAACTGATTGATTTGCCAAGCTGGTACAGAAAGAACTGGGAACTGGTTCTTACTTTATGGGATTTCACTGGAGAGCTTCCATCTTCTTCCCTCTGCAGCATGTGCATTTAGTAGTTCTGAAATTCAGCCTTTTTTTGTATATTAAAAGACTAAAAATTAATCTCAATTTAAATTAACAGCTTTTACACTAAAAAACGCGCACACACGCTCCTGAAAACCACCTTCCCCACCAGTAGGTTACTCACGATAAATAACAGACACAGCTGCTTGCTTACTGCTACTTAGCCCCACCTGAAGTACAATATAAATCTCCAGGAAAATAAATGCAAAAATTACTCTTGCCACCAGCATCACCAACAGCTGCCTCTTGCCAAACCTGGTTTGGGTCTAGAGGAGGCAAAGGAGGAGTTGGAGAACACTAGGGAGCTTGGGGGGATGTGTGTTTGAGGACATGGGAACTAAAACGCACTGCAGGGCTACCCGAGACCCTGGGAAGTTTTGGGAGAAGGGCTCGATTCACTGGAAAAGCGACTATTTCTTTCTGCCTGCCAGTCCTGCAAACCCAGCAGTAACTGGGATCTCTCCAGCTGATGCATCACAATTAGAGACAGAGGATTTCACGGGGCAACTTCAGGCGCAGTTTTGCGTGTCCCACCCTGCAGCTCTTCAGATCGAGATGTGGGACCGCGCTGCCGAGCTCACACTCGGAGCAGGTCTGTCGCAGAGCCCATCTGGCTGATCGAGTTCCAGCTGGCAGCAGCGAGAAGCAGGCACTGAACCCACCCTGCCATTTCTACAGAGTGATTTTCTTCCCAGCAAAACCGCATTTCAGATAATGGCAACACAAGCAGCTGGATTTCCTGCAGCCCTTGTAACACTGACCTATTAGCCAGTTACAGTGGCGACCAGCTTTTATGCAGTATTTTGACAAGCAACGTCGACCTTACAACAGTTAAAAGCACAGCAGGCTGAGTAGCGTTGTAGGACGGGCTGCAAACCTGATGTTTTGGAGAATGAAGCTAATGAAAATCCTGCACACTCAGTAAAAATATTAGAGACTTTGCTCTGATGGATTTAATGCTCTACACAGTCTAGCTATAGAGAGGCAAGTAAGCTAGATCTACAGAAAGGTCTGAATAATCAAACCTTTTCATAGCTGAAGAATGAGGTGGGGTTTCATGTGGGGTTTCCAATTCAGAACTAGTTTTGGCATCCACCTCTGCAATTTTGACTTTAGGGTTACTCAAAGTCACTGTTCTCGGTTCAGCTTCCAGTGTCACTTGTTACAGGAGCACTGCCATTCTGCCCTTTTGGGCCAAAATCTCTAGAGGATAAGTCATAAAAGTTTGTAGCCTTCTGATCTCAGCCAAAAGTAACAATCTACGCCTAGCTCTACACTGTCTGCTCAGCCCATCTTTCAGAAAATCTCAGCTCCTCCCAAATTCAGCAAATCCCCCATGCATCAAAGCGCGACTGTGCCAGAACGGGGGGATTACCTGCGCTGTCCTGCCAGGTGGTGACAGCCCATGGAGGTTATTTTAAGGGCAGAGTAGGGCCCCGCTGTGCATTGAGAGTGGTAACAGCGTTAGCAATCGCAGAGGGACGAGAGGGAGAGGTGCTTTGGAGCCTTTGTAATAAAGGGTGAAATTTAAAAGAAAATCCTGAAAATGAAAACTAGGCAGTACTGGGCTGTTCGATGAGAGAAGCTAGGGTAAGGAGGGGTTTGGTGACAAATACTCATCCTACAGACTCCACGGCCAGCCCAGCACTCCTGCCTGCACAGCCCAGAGCCGCGGCTTGTCCCTGCCAGAAGGGACATTAGAGATGCTCCAGCCCCGGTGTGCAGTTCGGGAGCACCCCTCTCCTGCCTGGCCTTCGTCGGCAGGCTGAGGAAAGCCGAGCCCGAGGGCTGAGCCCGGCAGCACCCCACAACACTGCCGGCTCTGGAGACAGACCCACGAACGCCCAGCAACTTCAGCTGGGTGAAGGAGCCCACCTCCCGGAGGAGCGTATGCGCTCTGCCAACAGCCACACGCCGCTCATGGGAATCCGGGCTGTTGCAGATGCATGTTCAAGAGTGGCAGAGCGAGACTGGGCAACCGAAAGATGTAGTGTGGCTTCAGGAAAGAGCCCGAGGCCGGGAGCCACTAGATGTCACTGCCGCCTCGGCGCTGCCACCGCGCCTGTGGACCCGCCAATATTAACAGAAGAGTTTCTCCCGCGAACTAACACCGCCTCTGCCTCCAATAATGCGACTGAGCAAAGCCACCTGAGCTCCAAACTGCTCGCCCGGTTCTCCTCTGCCACGCTCTGGCACCAACCGGCCGCAGCTCCATCCGTCCCCATGCTCCAAAGCTCTGTCAGAGGGCATGGGAGAGGATCAGTGTGAACAGTCTCCTACGTTTAGAGGGAAAGGTGGCAGAGGTTTGCACCCACACACACACTGAGTATGGCTGCTTCATTAGAGATCCTACTGTGACTTTTGTTTTAGGGCTAGGGTGATGAATTTTTAAGTCAGGCTTTTAACTTGACCTTTACAGAATTAGGTCTAAATCTTCACACTATCCCTCTCACAACTTCCCAGGAGCTGAAGTGTTGTCTTCTGGTTTCATGTTTGGGAAACACAGCCATGAGTCCAGAATATGCATCCCAGCGCAGCCACTACAGCCTCACTAAAGCAGTAAGAATAAGCACTTTCAGGCCTGTCTTGGAGAAGGAAGGATGGATAGATGCATCAGAAGGCAACTCTGTATCATCTCTGGCTCTGTGGGCTTCCATTCTGCCTACAATCACCAACAAAGAGGGCACTAGGAAGATTTTTCCCAGCCCTCCCAAATTTGGCTAGCTACAGGTAGCCTTATTATATACTCCTTGAGGTGCATTTTTCACTGGGTAAAACCCAGCAGAAATACACAAGCCCCACTCAAAATGACACCACCAAGACCCCCTATTAATTATACAACTAAAGGGTTTGTTCCTAGTGTTGGAAAGGGATTATCTAGAGTATTTTTCTCCTTCGTGGCTCTCCTCTTTCTCCTTCTTCTTTGCTGTCCCCAGTTTTGAGCCTGTCAGAAACCTGATTTAAACAAAATAATGTCAGTTTGCTAGAGGAGGTCCAGTCTCCATCGTCTGTGTTCTGCAAAGAGGGTAGATCCTGGAAGGATGCTGAAGTGGTTTGTTCTATTCAGCAGCAGCTGTGCTGCATACAACCGCGGCCAGATCTGCAGTCTGTGTGCCCCCCCTTGCCCCCCAGCTCCCACCAGCTCCAAGGGGATTTGCAGTAACGGGGCTACAGGTACCTACGTGCATCCCCCAGGTCAGCCTAGTAACCAGCTCAAGTCATGCCAGCAGGCTGGGAGCCCCAGATGGGTAGTGTGGATGAAATATTTCCCCTGTTTTGCGGGCAAAGGTATAAATTAGTTTGTGTTTGTGCGTATAATAACTGTGTCCTCACCGCTGGTTGCAGAGCTGACAGGCAAAGCAGTCCAAATGGTAAACATTATCTCTGGCCCTCATCACCATCTCAAAGGCAGGGATCAGTTTACTGCAGGCAGCGCAATTCCCGGTGGTACCAAAGAGCCTGCCAAAGAAGCACAATCATTAGAAGCCATTTTAATTAAATGGTGGAAGGACTAATTAAGTGTAATTAGCAGTATCAAATACTGTATTGCACCAATAAATAGAAGTTGCAGTCTCCATTTCGCTGACCAACCAGTGTGCGGGAAGTTGGGATAAAACTGCCTGGTGAGCAGGCTGTCGAGATGAAACTTCATTTGTTTTGCGAGCCTAGGGCTAATTTGCTGTCTAATGGAGAAAAGCATTAAACACTTAGAGCACTATTTTGGGGCTCACAAAATTTCAGTCAAAAACCACATGCCCCTCTGCAGGGCTGGGGCAGGTGCTCGCAGCCACCCGTCCCCCTTGGCGTGGGCTCGCCACAGTGACCTGATGGGGGGGAGGCAGGCTGGCAGCCTCTCACAGCGAGATGCTGAAGACCTGCAAACTCTGCCAACCCTGGCAGGCAATGCTACAATATAGCTCAGGAAGAACCTCACTTACCTGCTGTTTAAAACAAAAAAAGTGCACAGTTTCACTTGCAACAAGTACAACAGCATTTTGCAAGGCATCTCAGAGAGCAAGCCCCCCTCCTCCCCGGCTGTGCCCCCCTCCTCCCACCTCCTGGCCCTCCCAGGAGCCAGCTAAGCCCTTGCACCGTGGCCTGAACAGCATGCTCAGCCGTTCCACTCCAGCTCCCCGCTCCTCCAGGACAGCCCTTCAGCTCTGGAAGCTTTGCCATTTTCATCTTGGCTTTCACTATCTGTCTCCCCAGATGTCTGCTGCAGTTACAGCTCCCGCTGGGGGACTCGACTCCTTCCCTGGCCCCTTCTCCAACACATCCCTGCAGCCCCCCGTGTGTGCCAGGGACAGCACGCCTCTGCCACGTTACAGCCACACGAACCAGCCAGGGCACGAATCAACAGGCTGACAAAACCAAGTGTCACCCGAGACTGTGATCAATATACCTTGCTTAGGAGCCGATAAAAATGGCATTCTTGGGCAACGAGCCTCAAGACGTACAGCTCCTGCTGACCATTAGCTCTGCGCGTGCAACGCGCCGCTGCCCGCAGACAGATTGGGGCTTATGGTTTGTTTCGAGCCATTGGTTCTGGCTGATTCCGCAACACGCAGACGAGAAGCATCAGGAAAATCTATAACCAATTTCTAAACCTGCAATTTGCCAAGCTAATCAATACTAATTATTACTGGCCGGTAATTGTGAATTAAAACACCCAGCGATGTTACAGAAACCTCCACAGAACTCTCTCACCCTCCCACAGCGCTGTGCTACCGAAGTCAGCCTGCTCGGCAGCTATGAAAAAAGGCTCCTCTTATCTTTCATTAGAAGTGGTATCAGTGCTCTTTCACTAGGCCTGGCTGGAAAACCCCAACACTTCCTAAGAAGAAACTGCGGTACATTTTCCCTGAAAGTTAAACAACGCAAACCAAATGGAAACACTTGCGCAGGACAGAAAAATCACAAAGGGACTCCCAAAATTTCTTCTCCTGTGGCTGCATCCTACGAGGGCAGAGAGACAGGGTAAAATCCCAGCTCTGTCGTTTGCACTGGCAAACACAGACCATGCGATCGGTACCGGGGCAGCCCCCTTCTCCCTGCACGCCGACTCGGGCTTGCTCCTGCTCTGGCTGGCAGGCGGGCCGGGGAGGCAACTGAGCGCCGTGCCTGGCTGCCTAACGCCGGCTGACAGGACTGAAAAAATGTGGCACTGAAAAGCGTATAGGTCTCCTGCACCCTGAGACGCCCTGGCTCCCATTCAGCACCCGCTCGCAAATCAAGCCATTAATACAGACATCCCTCCTTCCCCCAGCATAGCTGCCCCCTTCCACAGCACCTCGCTGGGGCGCAGCAAAGCCTGACAGCTTTTGCCAGCATTTTGCCATTTTCCATAAAGCCAGGCATCGGTTTTTAGAGCACCCAAGTCACAGCAAACTCAAAAAATGAGTCCAATACGTTAGGCAGGGAAACTGGGAGGTTAATCCTAGATTTGCTCTGTGCCCAGCACCGCTACATGCACAAGTATAAAATATCCATTATTCATTAGCATCACAGTTGTGTGGAGCTCAATCTAGATTAAACAAAATAAAGGGGCCCCAGACAGCACCATTTGCATTGTTAAGCAGGAGCCTTTCTTCAGCCTTCAAATAGGAGACTTTTCTAAATGGAAATGATGGGGAAATTTGGACAGATGTTCACTTAACTATTTAAACAGTTAGCTTAAGAAACATGAAAAATGTATTTGGCATCGTATTCACCTGTCTCCTTTCAGGGGTTTTGGGGGTAAACCAATTGTTAAACAGCTTTGCCTGTTTGCATAAGATCTGAAGCTTATGTTCTGTCCAGCTGAAATCGTGTTGCCTTCTAATGTCTACACAAACGTAGCTTCCAGCTAGTCAGCGTGCTAATCTTTTTCTCTTCTATCAAGTTTCACAGTCCTCCCTACCCTCCCTTTCCCAGCAGATGAACATTTCACACTTATTCCAGCACTTCCTAATTTTAATCTGCTTTTCAGGGGGTGATTTAGAGCCCTGTATGTTCACCATGCTTCTAAAAATACGCTGTAACTTGTGGCTCAGTAAACATGATTTTGTTTTAATCTGCTGGAAGAAAAAGCAAAATGAACAGACTTCTGCTTTTTTTTTTGTTTGCTTATAAAAAACCTGCCACCTCTGACACCTACTTACCCAGAAGCTACTTGAGCTGAAGTTTTCTGAGGTGGGGAACTTAACATTATTGGAGAAGGGAGAGAAGACAAGGAGCAGGAGGAATGTCTTCTACCCCAAGCCCCACCTGTGGTTAAATTTAAAATAACCCCACATGAACAAACTGATCTGCATTCTGTCCCTCAGACACCCTCAGAACAGGTGCAATACTCTCTCGCACATTTACGCACAAAAAAGTTGAAGAAAGAAATCTACCAGAAGATGCTCAGCATCTACTTAGCAGCTTGGAGCCACTGGCATAAAAGAAGCTGGAAATACAGAAAGGTTTCAGTTTGGAGTTGCTTTGCTTCTTCTAAAAAAAAATATATATATTTTTTTCCCTTTGAAGTTAAAAGGCAACAATTTTTAAGTACAGATTTATTTCCCCTTATGTAACAGGAAGACCTAGCCAGCTTGTAAATAAGCATAGACTATGCAGATTTAAAATTTAGCACAATTAAACTTTTACCCTGTGGTAGTAATTATGTTTAATGGCTCTTAGCCTGAACTTAACCACGTCTATTGTTGTCAGCCAGTCTAAAAGCAGGAGTTTGGCCAAGGACAATTTTCTGTAGTTTATAGGCACACTAAAAACCCCGCTACACGCTGTTCTCATTGGCCATTGATGTCAGTGTGTATAGTAAAAATTAAAGCTAATTGGCATACAGCAGCAGCAGTGAATGCAAATGAATTAATGGGAGAAGAAGGGAGTGCTCCGGGAAGCGGCAGGCAACTGTCGAAGGATGCTTTTTATGTAGTCTCGTCTGGGCTACAGAGTAGTCTTCTGCACAGTGATCCAGATGTCACCAGCTCTGTGAATACACCTGAAGTTAATTCAAACTAGGTTTTGGGGGAAAAAGAACGGTAACGGGTCCTTACTGGGAAAACAGGAAGAAACACATTAAGTTTAGCCCCTCTTAACATATTTTTCATTCTCTGACCAAAATGTGCAGGGTGGCTAAACTGAGATCCTGATTGCTTACTTCTGTCACCACTAGAAACAGCAATCTGTGTTAGTCATTGTCTACAAGAAGAGAGTCCCCATGTCTTCTCCTCCCTCTGTCCTGGCATCTGACTAGCTAACAGCCTGCAATGAAGAAAAAGGGAGAAATTCTTCCCTTCAAAGAAACAGTGAAAATTTTGCGGCTGTTGACTTCACAAGAGACAAAAAAAGAGGAACCAGGACAGGCACATATAAATAACAGGTTATACAGAAAGGATAAGTTGGGAATGTTGATTGGATTTTTTAAAAATAACACAAGAACAAGACAAATTCAAAATCAAACAGCTGACTTGAGACTGATAATTCCCCAAAACAAGAGGCTTTGTCAGCAGTGAAAGGTAAGAATTATTAGCTGAAAGAGGACTAAACACTTACCTACAGATAAATATCTACATTTGTAGATACTGTGTACAGCTACATATTTCTCTATATATTTGTATATCCAGATTATCTGGATAAGTTTTTGACGAGCTACTGAACCCCATGCTCGTATCCTCTCCAGCTAGTTAGGTGAGACAGGTTTTCCCTTATGCCTTCTCAATATGCCATTTATTTCGTAGCTCCATCAGGACCTGCTGTAGAACAAGACTTGTTTTATGTACCTGAAACTCATCATCATGAAGAGAAAAGGGGTTGCCCCTATCATACAAAACAAACCAACAACAGTCTTCCAGTGAGGATGGCTCTTAACAGCTTGCAATCAGTATTCATCCCATCTGTGGATATTAGGAATATGCTGAGCTGCAAGTCTGATTTGACCAAAGTACTGAATATGCCAATAATTGCAGGGAAAGCCTGAACATCACTTACAAAGATAAAAAGAATAAGCTTAAAAGCAACTTCAGACTCAGGGTTCCCAACCTTAGCCTTAGTGATAGCAAACACGGCCAACGCGTACTAGCAGGTGTAGCCTCCTTTCCAGGACACTGCTGCCAGTGCTGCAGCGGGAAGTCATGTCAGCTGAGGGAAATGCATGTTGATACTAATGAAGTTGGTCAAGCCGTCCTCTCGTGAAGCCTTCAAGTTCAATCCCAAAGAATTTATATCTTGCATGCCAAAGGGCTTGGCAGTCATGGATAGCAGAGCAGAAGGAGTTGAACCAGCGCAGTACAAAAAGCCCTCTGGTCGGGTCATTGCACTAGTCCAGAGATTACTGGGCATAAACTTCAACGCTGCTGAAGGGCGTCTGTCTTCAGTTGAAGAATACATCTGAATGTCCACTTATTTTTCCTCCTTTGGTCCCTCCCTCTGTATTTTCAGTAGATACTTACCGTGGGGTTGGGACTCTTAGCAGACAG